AATCGAAAATTTAACATGGAAATTATATTATCATATGGATGTTTCTTCATAGAAAAAAGTTTGAAGATTTCGATAGATTTGAAAGATTCCAGTAATTTAGCTACATTAGTAGTTCGACCTCTATTCTCAGAAGCCCAATCCGAACCATGGTCAAATTTTACAGAAACAAAATTGGCACAGAAATAAAACTAGAAAACTTGAGGAAACAATTTTGTCAATAAAAGGAAAGAACTTTAAATGATACGACTTACATTCACAAGGAACAAATAACAAATGATCAACAAAAGCAATTATGATTACCAGCACAATGAATCATAAGTTAAATTACAATTTTAATTAACGGTTATGAATAAATGTTGTCTAGTCCAATGTTTTCTCAACTTTTTCTCGTTAATTACAATTCTTAAGAAGTTTTTTATCTAATGATTTAAATGAAAAATGAATGAAATATGATTCATTTGAGTCTAAAAGACTAAACAACCAAAATATGACAAATATAATATCTAGATCGGAATATGGAACGGTCAAGGAATCCATACTCAGGATATTCTTTTCGTCTAGTTAGAAACTAGAAACCAGTGATCGGATGAGTTGAGAAATCGACTTATACGAATGAATTCGAGTCTAAAAGTCCAAACAACCAAAATATGACAAAACTTATCTAGATCGAAATAAGGTATGACCGGTAATGTTTTGGACTAATTTTTCAAAATTCAATAGCGTCTTATCAACTAAACTTAGAGACTTCATTTAACCGTTAAAATTAAGATGCACTTTTCGATTATGATTAGAAAAAATTCAATCACTTTTTTATCTAACTAATTAAAAAGTTATGGACCTCGATCGAAAATCGCGTCAAAAACTAGTTTCATCTTGTATTTTATCACATAGTGACCTTAACTTATATCAGTGGTTTAAAGAGTTGAAAAAAATTGGAATTGCCAAGTCAACATGCTATTCAATTGGACAAAAGGTTCGAAACAATTTAAGCTTGAATAACTACAGTTCTTGTGGTCGAAAGTCCAAAAAAGACCAGCCGGCGCTTAATTCAATTTAAAGCCGTCGCCGAAGTCTGGACTAAGTCACAGCGGAAACTAGCCGCTAAATTTGACATAAGATTATCTTATTGTCAAGAGCTATTGCAAAAGTTCAATATCAAGGCCTGGAAAAAACCGTGATTCCCCTAAATCAACGCCAGGTCAAGAAGTTCGTCAACGAACTCGACTAAAAGTTTTATAGGAAAATTTGATTCCAGTTAATGGGAGAAAGGACATAATCGAAGATGATGAATCTTATTTTCCACTTTCTGGTAAGGGGAATAAATTTTTTTTATCAAGTAATCCGATTCTCTTGGATCCAAAAATAACATTGAAACAAAGGTCCAAGTTCAAGATGCGATTATGTGTTTGGATCGCGATATCAAGAAAAGGTTGTTCTGATCTTTTTTCTTCCTGCTAATTGTGCAATAAATGCCGAAATATATCGTCATGAATGTATCGAAAAAAAATTAGTCCCTTCTATTGAAAAATATTATCCTAATAATCGGTACATCTTCTGCCTGATGGAGCTTCGATTCATTATGCTGCGGTTACCATTGAAACCATTGCCAAATACTCGATTAATATCGTAAAAAAGAGGATAATCTAACCAATGTACCTCAATTAAGATCAATTGAACGTTTTTGGTCACATCTTAAGGCCAAAGTATATGCTAATAATTGGGAAGCGGAAGATTTCGCGCAGTTAAAACGACGAATTAATCAAAAATTAAAAGAGTTCGACTCTGGTTATTTTGATCGATTATTCGTAAATGACAAATCGCGAATCTCATTTGCAGCTCAACATGGGCCTTTGTCAATAATTTGGTTAGACTCAAGCTACAGTATGAAAAGTATCACTTCTTTGTTTCTTTCTTCACCTTCGACCTCGCGAAATAATCCAGAGTTTCTATCGACTGTGGGTGATTCAAGTTACTCCAATTCCTATGATCCATTACAGTTGATCTTCCCTCGAATGGTCAAGTGTACATTACAATTCTTTGGTCTCACTGGTGACATCAATTCTTACGATGGACTTTGTTTTCTCGCTGCCAATTCATTACATGAGAAAGTTTATCTATGTCAATGGTTCCTTTATCATTTCATGTTCATCTTCATCATTTTGATTCTATTCTATCGAGGTCTAACCCTGACACTTCCACCTCTTCGATATTTCATGTTATCGTATACGAGTTCATCTTTTGCCGCAAAATCGTACCGTCGATTACTCAACTCACCCGGTAACTGGTTTCTTCTCAATATTTTATCAACCACAGTTCCAATATCACATTTCATTGATTTAATGAATGCAGTAGTTGAATTGCATTTCGATAAACACGGAAAACCTTTGCACAATTCAGCATTCGGCAAATATGCCAAGGCAAACGAAGGAATCAAAGTGGACAGATCTTTTAAAACTTCTAAAAGTGTTGGAGGTGCAAAAGTTGAGGAAGACATCGAATGGTCAGCAGATTGGGATAAGATTAACTTATACGCTCCTAAAGCACTGACACCTCCTGAAGATCCAGAGTCTCAAGAGTCTCCAGAAGCCCCTGAAAAAAGTTCTGATGAGACTAAACCTTCAGTTTCGAACGCAGTTTAATGTACATTTCGTGTATTTAGTTAATTGAGTGATTAAAGAACTTCCACTCGATGCATTAAATTTTCTACTTTAAGTGTTTTGGTCACTCAACGAGAAAAAAAGCACTAGAACTATTAATAATCAATCGAAAATGTACAAGTTCGAAGCTTTTTGTAAACCGCAATAACAGCCAACAAATTCTCGAGATAAAATGAAATAAACGAACATTTTGATAAGTTTAATTATTTCAGAAAAAAGATTTTCAATTATTAGGATTGGAATACAATATCTTGCTGGTTAGTTGTTGATTCGGTAAGACTCAAGATATGTCCGTCAGCTCGTTATTTTCAATTTTCAGCTGATTTTTTTCTCGGCTTAATGTTCGGTTTAATTGTCTAAGAAAATCCAATAGGGCGTTCAATTTTCAGGCTAAAAAAGATCGTTTTTACCTCCTTTTTCTCTATGGGAACTTTATCATGGGACTCGCAGAAACATGATTATAATCTGATTAAAAATCTTCTCCCTTTCGATTAAAATCGCTATAAAAGGATGAAGACCATTTGCATAGGGGATTTTTCCTAGACTTAGAAATAAAATTAAATCACTTTTTCAGAAAAGGATTCTCCATGAAAAACTTAGTCATAAAAATTTTTTTAACGAAATCAAAATTTTAGGCAGAATTGGCCTTCCTCCTTTTTCTGTTATGAATTCTGATGCAATATTTTTACATTTAGAATATGAAGAGTTCTGAATTCCACAGAAAAAAATTGTGGATTTCGGGATAGTGTTTTCGAATATTTTTAAGTTTGAGGTCGAGATATTTGAAAATTTGACCTATTAATATTTTACATAAATTGACGCTGAATTTTACAATGAAATTCATTTTTTGAGACCAGAAATGTGTGCTGATTAATTTGCAATAAAATAAAAGCGAAATAAACCCACTGATAGTAGCGGTGATAAAATTTCGATCCATCATCAGTTTGGACACTGGAAGTGACCCCGACGTAGGGTGAAATTGAAGAATGAGAATTGGGTAGAGTTGTGTAACTGCCATCGATCCAACAATAGTCATTGATATTTTCATTACTGAGTTTGGGAACAGTGTTGAAGGTACAAGAAATTTCAGCACCGAAAATATCTTTGCATGTTAAAAGAAGAGCTTCAATGAGAAGGATTTTTGATAATAGAGAAAAATTGAATATGGAAATTATATTATCATATGGATGTTTCTTCATAGAAAAAAGTTTGAAGATTTCGATAGATTTGAAAGATTCCAGTAATTTAGCTACATTAGTAGTTCGACCTTTATTCTCAGAAGCCCAATCCGAAGCCATGGTCAAATTTTACAGAAAATACCCAGGATATTCTTTTATTCATAGTTATTGTTCAATTGGTTACGAATGTGGCTAAAAATTAAATTTAAACAATTCTTTTTGTCAATACACAGAAATTATGAGTATCTACTCGTGTACGAAAAAAATCCCCTTTAGTTTTCATGAGAAGGCCAAAAAGCTTCAATCGCTGTTTAAGGCACAACGAGTTCTTTTAAGGAACTTTCTTAAAGACTCAACTGAATTTCTCAAGAGCTTACATTATGAAAAAGGATAAGGCTCAAGATATGTATGTAGCTCGTCTTGTCCATAAAGATATTGTCCAGATTAGATGAGACAAGTCCAGTATGTTTATCATTCTAAGGCCACAAATCAATTTAAAGTGTAGGATTGGTCTTGAAATAGAAATAGCCTTTAATGTTGTTTTAAAAATGAATTGTTTTTCAAATTTTTGACTTGAACGGATTAGAAGAGTTGACTTTAAGCAGATCAGTTTCAATGAAATGTTTTCTGTTTCAAATTAATGATTTTGTGTTCCCTTCCAAGTGATTTGACTGTATCATATATCGTGGACACAAATCTGTAAAACTCAACTTTGGCAACTCAACTCCCATGAGTCTAAATAGTTCATTCGTATAAGTCGATTTCTCAACTCATCCGATCACTGGTTTCTAGTTTCTAACTAGACGAAAAGAATATCCTGAGTATGGATTCCTTGACCGTTCCATATTCCGATCTAGATATTATATTTGTCATATTTTGGTTGTTTAGTCTTTTAGACTCAAATGAATCATATTTCATTCATTTTTCATTTAAATCATTAGATAAAAAACTTCTTAAGAATTGTAATTAACGAGAAAAAGTTGAGAAAACATTGGACTAGACAACATTTATTCATAACCGTTAATTAAAATTGTAATTTAACTTATGATTCATTGTGCTGGTAATCATAATTGCTTTTGTTGATCATTTGTTATTTGTTCCTTGTGAATGTAAGTCATTTCATTCAAGTTCATTCGTTTTTGAACAAAATTCCGTCAAGTGGGTATAAGAGTGTAATCTTTTTATTCGTTAAGTAACAACGACTGGCAACTCGTCTTCTGGCTCTTCCTCGAAATCCCATTTGTACTTTTCTGTAACATGTAGTTTAAATACAATGGCCTTTTCTCTGACCTTTCGGTCAGTATTTGGATTACAAAATACGTTATAAAAAAAATCACGTAAAACTGACACGAGAAAATTTTCATTATCCACAATATCGATGAAAATATCCTCAGGCACTTCTCTCAATTGTAGGTTTAGAACATTGATAAAATTAAAATACATTGATGGATATTTGTTGATTGCTGCATCAGAGCAACAGAGTAATTTTAACATTAATTTCCATTGGTCAAAAGAATCATTTACTTGTCCGATAATAAATGTTACAAAGGCAAATTGAAGTTCGCCAAGAATATCATCTGGTTTCTCGTATCTTTTCAGTGTTTCGTCGAGGGTGTAGCTTTGGTCGATACAATGTTTGGTCAGGTCACTTGATGTTGCCCCTTCAGGTAATCGGGGAAGTTTTGAAAGTTGAGCGAATTTAATTCGGGAATCGGGTTCGATTTCCATGTAAGACATTAAATTGTCAACAGTTAGTCTCCTATTCGTGGTGGGTAAAGATTCAGAGGGTTGAATATCTTGAGGATATTTGAGAGAAACCAATTGAGTTACTGATCTTATCTTTCCACAGTTTGGATTAAGTGTGTTCAAAACATTTACACCAATATAGTTGGTCAATTGAGTCCATTTTCGGTATTCAGAAAAAGGATATGGAGCTAAATGTTGATCCAATGAACCGATTAAATTGTCAGAGTAACGTTGAACCTCATCCGGATCTAAAAGAATCTCTGAAATATCTTCGTCTCCACCATCCCATCTTCTAATATAAATCTCTTTCGGCTGGAATATGTGAAAAAATCCCGATCGTGGGCTTGTTTGAGTTGGAAATTTTCGATCAACTGCTGAATAATGAACGAAATGTAATCCAGGAGGAATCATTTTAAATCCTTTGAATTTAACACCAACAGAATATTCACTAAAATCGATTCCAATTGTCGATCCAACAGGCAAATCAATCAATAAGAAGAAAGCACCATGAGAGAGTAAATCCTTAGCAGTATTCTGATCAATTTCCATCGATTCCATGATAATTGTCAAACAAACAAAGAACAGACCAAATAACAATTAACAACAACAACAAAAAGAATCAGAAACAAAAACAAAAAAGTAAACAGAAATGATGAAAAATCGAACAACCAGATGGCGCCATCAGAGAACAGAAAATCGCCTAAGGGAAACCAATTGAAAGAGTAAACAAATTGTTACTCTTTGTTTATGTTGTTTTTTTTTTGTATTTTCTTTTTTTCTCCCTCACTGATTATCTAGTGAATTAATTGTTGTTTGTTTAATTGTCAATTCTAGTGATGGCAATTCGTGATATGAAGAAGGACGATATTGTCATATGGAAGAAGCCATTTACTACATTGGATTATTTTCTTCGTGAAACTTTTCTCCTTACAATCCAAGGAATCATTTGGTTGAGGGGACATTTTCTCTCTGCAATAATTTTCTTAATCTCTGTTACATTGTTGATCTTCTATTCAAATCAAATAGAATCACCTTTGATTAATTCATTTAAAACACAAGTATTATGGTCACTTTATTGGCTTGGTTTGGGTATTTTATCATCTGTCGGTTTGGGTACCGGTCTTCATACTTTTATACTCTACCTTGGACCTCATATTGCAAAGGTAACCCTCGCTGCCTATGAATGTGGTAGTTTAAGATTCCCTGAGCCTCCCTATCCAGATGAAATTGTCTGTCCAGATATTCCCGATACAAGGCCGGTAACTCTTTGGGATATCATGTCAAAGGTCCGATTGGAAGCATTCATGTGGGGAGCAGGTACAGCATTAGGTGAACTGCCGCCTTATTTTATGGCCAAAGTTAAACGTTTATCTGGAGAGGAGATGATTAAAGAATCAAAGAAGGACAAAAATGTTCCAGCGAAAGCAAAGACTAATAATAAAAAGATGAATCTACTTTCTAGGATAATGAACGAGATTTCCGATACATTTGAAAAAGCCTCTTCATGGGTACAATTTCTAGTGGAGAAAGTTGGTTTCTTTGGAATATTATTTTGTGCCTCTTTTCCTAATCCCGTCTACGATTTAGCGGGTATAACATGTGGACACTTTTTGGTTCCCTTTTGGACCTTCTTTGGGGCAACACTAATCGGTAAAGCGGTGATTAAAATGCACATTCAGAAGCTATTTGTGATCATTGCATTTGATGAAAATCTATTGGAACATTTTATCGATAAAATCAAAGATTTACCAATATTAGGAGATTATCTTCATAAACCATTCAGAGATTTTTTAATCAATCAAAAGGAGAGACTTCACAGTAAAGTTGTCACCAAACCTCATTGGATCGCATCTTTATTTGAGAAATTAGTTGTGGCGATGATTATTTATTTCATTTTATCGATAATTAATTCGCTTGCCCAAAAATACCATTCCCGGATTACGAATACATTGACAAAATCATCTAAACCTTTATCGTCAACCTCAAAATCCATTTCACAATCAAGTAAATTGTCATCATCAAAGTCTCCATCTCCATCAACTTTGACATCCAACAAATCATCAAACATTGACACTCTCGATTCATCATTGAACAAACGAAAAAAGAAAAGGAGATAAAAAAAATTAACGTTGATTAGTTAATTCTCAATTAGATAATATAAATATTAATACAAAAAGGAAGGATTCAGAAAGAGACTACTCAAGAACAAATCAAATCTATTTAAGTCAACAAAGTGCAAAAAAAGAATCAATTTAACCAGTGAATTAACCCAATTTCTCAATGAAAATGGAATCCATTTGCCACCCACCGGTTATTATAATTGATTATCGATAATCTTTCATAATTTACTCTTTTCGAAGTCAAAGAAAAAAAAATGATAATAATTATGTATTTGTCTTTACACTCACTCTCTTTATCGTCCTTAATCCTGAACTATTTCAATATAAGATGAGGATTAATGATCGATTACAATTAAAAGGGAATACAATTAATAACCATTGATTACTTTTTCTTTTCCTGGTTTTCCTTTTCAGTTTTTCATGGATAATTTTCTCATTGGAACAACTTGTTAATCAGCAATTTAATTTCGCAATTAAAATTGTTCACAAAAGATTTGGCTTCGATCTGTATATTATTCAAACGATGAGAAACATTGATACGACAATTTGATTGACATTGTTACCAAAAATACACCAAACTGATTTACTGCCAAATGATAATCATAATCACCAGTTAAATTACCAAATTATCATCATTATCATAACAACAACAATCAGCTGATGAGGGACAGAAAATCCTATTAAAAAAAAACTGACCACTAAAAGTTAATCAAATCTCCTTGACAATTAACGAGTCGAAAACTAAATTAGATAAAAGGCCATTGATCTTGATTACAATTAACACATAATAGACCTCTGGTCACCTTTTTCTCCTCTTACCAACTTAGTTAGAATAATTTGTCACCAAGTAAACAACAATTAAAAAGAAAACAATTTAAAGTGGAAATGAAGAGATTGACAAGATACAAGAGACTGACCATTGGAAGAAAACAATCTCCATACATAATCATCGTGAGAAGTGATTGATAATTGTCAATTGATTTGTCTCTGTAAATATTTACTCTTACAGTTAAATAGTAATTAAGGGGAAAAAATTTTACATATTGATCAATACGAACAATTAATAAATTGTCCGCCCAAAAGGTTGTCATGGAGAAAGAGACAATCGAACCGCCAAAAAGATTCAAATGGTTATTCTCACTTTCCTTCTGATTGTTGTGAGGACAGAAATTCAACCATTCATGTAGATTAAATTGTTCTATCTAATCAACTCAATTCTCAAGTTAATTTTAATTCTCATTAGCTAATCACCAACATTCTTATTCAATTCTTTAACATTCTTTATCTCTCTCCGAGTTTATCTGTTGCAATTTTGTTTCTCTTCTGTTTTTAGTCAACATCATTTTCTCAGTAAACATTGGAACTGTTTCCTTTTACTTTGTTTCCATCCGGCTCTGAGATGATCCGCCTTAACCATTACTAACTACTACTAATTACTTAATCGAGATCCTCATGTTTCATCATTCTTTTCAAGTGTCAACTCCTATAATTCTGTGGAATTCATTTCGTCTTGATTAATGATTTTGATTCCTTCCATTACAATTCATTTTCCATGTTATGGTTTTTTTCCATTCAATAGTTGCCTTTCTCTCTCTCTAATCGTCTGTTGTTGTTTCTGTTTGTTTATTTGTTTTCTTCTAAATTAAGGTCACTCTCCGTGTTTAGATTTTCTTTTGATTTTTCGTTTATTTTTCGTAAGAACTGTTTAATGCTGGTTCTGATTTTTGGATAGTTAACCTTCAAAGGATTTCAAATAAAATGTCAGACTTACCTTGTGAAAAGATTGGAAAGAAGCTTGAAAAGATGGTCACTTCTCTAACACCAAAGGTTAGGCGAAGTCTTCTCAAGACTTTACTTGAAAGCCTTGAAGGTGATGATGTTGATTTCGCTACTGATTTGCTTAAAATAACCACCAGAAATGCTAATAAACGTAAACCCATTTCTCAACCTCAACTCAAACATTTGGAATCGCCTAATGACTCAGAGTCTTCTGATTCTAATTGTAGTCATTCAAGAGTAGGAAAGGTTAAAAAATCAATCACCGCTCATCAAGATGTCAATTGTTCATCTTTAACAGTCAATGGATCAACACACTACCCAATGGATCCTCCATCTTCGCCCATTGTCACTCGAACCAGGAATAGACAAAGACTGTTCCAAGATGCTTCCAATGCTTTAGAGAATATTCCAAAAGAAACAGCTGTTCCGAAAAAAAGCCAAATCGAAATGGTTGAAGAAAATTCTTCTAGTGAAGAATCAGAAAGTAATGATTTCTCTGTGCCGATTGTTCAAAGAACTCATTCCATTGGTGGTTTTATTTTAAATGAAAGCTTTGGTGACGATAGTACCGAAGACGAATTAGAATTACAACGAAATTCTCTTGGTAATAAAAGAATTATCATAAGTTCTTCAAAGAAGAGCAACGAAAGTTCTCCATCAAGTGCAAGTGCTCTTTCTCCGCCTATTTCTACAAATCGAATTAAATTTAGTCGTTCAAGAATTAATGAATTACTCGAATCAAGTTCATCAGATGAAGAAGTGCAACAACAACAACAATTAAAATCACCATCACCACCACCACAATCTAAACCTAAATCCAAATCGAAATCAGTGAAAACCAAAGAATCTAAAGATTGTAACAAAATGGCATCCAATTCGAAAGCAGCTATTATAACTTTAGACGGTGAAGCGAATGACGATTCAGAGAAAAGCTGTGATAACATCTCAATGGATGCTACAAATGATATGGAAGATACAATTAATTCTGATGCATCATCAAAATCCGCTAATCTATCGGTAGCTTTCCCAGAAAAAGATTCGGAGATGGAACAAGAAGAAGAAGAAGAAAACGAAAAGAAAAAGAAAAGAAAACGAAAACGAAAACGAGAACGAGAACGAGAACCCAAATGAAAACAAAAATGAAGATGGGGAAGAAGATGGAGATAAAGACGAAGAAGAAGACGAAGAAGCTGATAAAGAAACAGAAAAAGAGGAAGATGAAAAAGATGGAAAAGAAGATGAAGAGAAAATGTAGAACCAGACCATCGAAGTGAATCACAAGTGACCGAGGAAAAAAGTGCTTCAGAAGAGTCTGCTCTAAAGGGTAGACTGCCGAAAGAAATGTCTCCGCCTATATCATCAAAGAAAATAAGCTCACCATCGCTAATAAATGTTGACGATGATAAAGAAAGTGATAAATGTAAAAATAATGAAAATATTGATGATAGTGATAACGATGCTGGTGTTGGTCAAGCAAATTCAATATCAGGTGATTCTGTTGTTACTCTAGGAACAGATTCACTTTCTGAATCAGTTTCAAGTTTCACAGTATCAGACAGTTCGGATTCAAGTGATAAAAAGACCAAAAGAAAGAAGAAAAAATCTTCAGCCAACAGTAAAAGTGTCTCACCAACACCTAATCCCCCCACAGGTAAACCTTCATCAAGGAGCAAATCTGGTAAAAAAGTGACTAGTGATAAAAAGAGTAAACCAACAATTGATGAACAATCAACAACAACAACAATTAAAATCACCATCACCACCACCACAATCTAAACCTAAATCCAAATCGAAATCAGTGAAAACCAAAGAATCTAAAGATTGTAACAAAATGGCATCCAATTCGAAAGCAGCTATTATAACTTTAGACGGTGAAGCGAATGACGATTCAGAGAAAAGCTGTGATAACATCTCAATGGATGCTACAAATGATATGGAAGATACAATTAATTCTGATGCATCATCAAAATCCGCTAATCTATCGGTAGCTTTCCCAGAAAAAGATTCGGAGATGGAACAAGAAGAAGAAGAAGAAGAAGAAGCTGATAAAGAAACAGAAAAAGAGGAAGATGAAAAAGATGGAAAAGAAGATGAAGAGAAAATGTAGAACCAGACCATCGAAGTGAATCACAAGTGACCGAGGAAAAAAGTGCTTCAGAAGAGTCTGCTCTAAAGGGTAGACTGCCGAAAGAAATGTCTCCGCCTATATCATCAAAGAAAATAAGCTCACCATCGCTAATAAATGTTGACGATGATAAAGAAAGTGATAAATGTAAAAATAATGAAAATATTGATGATAGTGATAACGATGCTGGTGTTGGTCAAGCAAATTCAATATCAGGTGATTCTGTTGTTACTCTAGGAACAGATTCACTTTCTGAATCAGTTTCAAGTTTCACAGTATCAGACAGTTCGGATTCAAGTGATAAAAAGACCAAAAGAAAGAAGAAAAAATCTTCAGCCAACAGTAAAAGTGTCTCACCAACACCTAATCCCCCCACAGGTAAACCTTCATCAAGGAGCAAATCTGGTAAAAAAGTGACTAGTGATAAAAAGAGTAAACCAACAATTGATGAACAATCAACAACAACAGCAACAACAGCAACAATGGAAGGTGATGAACCAATGGATGTTGATAAAGATTGTGATTCATCAACAGATACCAGTGATGATATTTATTTAAACTCCGAGGTATCAGTTCAATTGTTGAGATTACCCAAAGAACTGGTTGAATCGACAGCTTCAGCAAAATCCATTGAACGGAGAGTGCGTCAGTTGGAGGCTAATGTTTTCAAAGATTTGGATCTAAGATGGTGTAAAAAGAAGGCTAAATCTACTTCTCGTCATCCTTTACCATCTTGTTCCACCTTGAACCGGTCAAAAATGACCTCATCAAGGAAAATAGTTGACAGTGAAAGTGAACAAGAGTCGCTTAGCGATGACCAATGGATGCCATCAACAAGTCGAGGAGTTAAACCTCGATCAAATAATAATAATAATGGTGGTGGTGGTAGATCCAATTGGACAGCAGTTGATAGTAGTGATGATGATGATACAAATAGTGATGAAGATAGACCTGTAAAGAAAACCAGGATTACCAGGCGAAGTGCACGAATTGTTACCGATTCCGAAGCAGGTCCAAGTGATGAGAAGAAAAAATCAACAATAAATACCCGTAAAAAGCGTAATCGTGTCATCTCCTCTTCAGATGAATCTCAAATATCTTCCGATAATGAAATAGTTAAATCAGATGCTGATGAAATTATTTCTGAATCTGGTACCGATGAGGATAATAAGATGTTAAAGAAAAATAAACCTAAATCAAAACGCCGTAGAGTTGTAAGTGTCTATTTCCCTCGTAAACTTTTAGTCTCTGTGTGTGTGTGTTGGTGACAATGTCAAGAGAAAAAGTTTGTTTCTCTATCCGATTAACTCCGCTTGTTAAATTTAATTTAATTCCCTCTGTTTATTAAGATTAGATTTAGTTAAATGTAATTCTGGTTTTTTTTAATGTGTATGTGTGTGTCTGGGATTAGGATCCATTAACTTTACATTGACAAGCTGATTTATGCTCATGCTCTTTGAAATTTTCTGTTAATATTAGAAAAGGTTGTAAGGGGGCTGGTGGGGTGGGTGAAGTCTCAGCAGTGGGTTTTTATCATGGAGGAAAAGATGATGTATTTGTTTTGCTCTCTTCTATTTCTAATGTCTTTTTGTTTTCTCTTCTATTAAAAGGTTACCTTGTCCTCTGATGACGATGATAAAACTGGTAAAAAGAAAGAAAAAGCACCCGCCGGTGGAGCAAAAGGTCGGCGTAATATTAAAAAATTATTAACCGAGAAAGAATTGAAAGAAGAAACCAAAGCCGCTGGTCAACGGGAAAAGGAGCGAATGCAGAGAATCGCCGAGAGGCAGAAACTTTATAATGAATTTTTACTCAAAGAAATGAAATTAGATCCTGAAAAACCAGGTCGATTGATTCTCGAGATTGATACGAAAACTCGTGAACCAATTGTTGAAGTAGCACCAGAATTAGCTAAAAAAATGAAAGATCACCAGTGTAAAGGTATTCGTTTCATGTATGATTCGGTTATCGAAAGTGTCTCTAAAGCCAAAGAAGATGGATCTGGTTGTATTCTTGCTCATTCCATGGGCTTGGGTAAAACCTTTCAAGTGATCACCTTTCTGCACACTTTACTTTCTCATCAGCACATTTCGAAGCATGTTAAACACGCCTTGGTTATCTGTCCTGTAAATACAATCAAAAATTGGATTTCCGAGTTCATCCATTGGCTCGACACTGATGGCCTATTGACTTTCCCTCTATTTGATCTGAGCGATTCAAAGAGTCCATTACAACGAGGTGAAACTCTTAAATTATGGAAACAGAGAGGAGGTGTTTTAACTTGTGGTTTAACACTTTTCGCTCAATTAATTAGTCCTAGAGGTAAAAAACCACCTAAATGGGTACGTGATATAACCCAAGAAACACTTATCGAGCCTGGTCCAGATATAGTTGTCGTTGATGAGGGACACATACTTAAAAACAGTCAAACAGCAATTAACAAAGCAGTCACCTCAATATCAACTCTACGTCGTATCGTATTAACGGGAACACCATTACAAAATAATCTTGATGAATATCATGTAATGGTTGATTTTGTTAAACCAAATCTTCTTGGTACACGTAAAGAATTTACTAATCGTTTCATTAATCCAATTAATAACGGCCAACACATTGATTCAACGCCTGGAGATGTTATCGTGATGAAGAAACGTGTTCATGTTTTACATAAATTACTGGACGGTTGTGTCCAGCGATTTGATTACGGTGTCCTTAAACCATATCTACAGCCCAAATTAGAGTTTATTGTCTCAATCCGATTAACTGATAAACAAATTGAACTGTATCAATATTATCTGAACGAGATGTCTGCTCGTGATGGTTCAGGACTTTTATCTGATTTTTCAAATTTTCGACTTATCTGGAATCATCCTGCTCTTTTGTACATTGCAACAACCAAACGTCGGGAAGCGGAGGCCAAGAAAAATGAGAAAGATTTTGTAACAACCGAAGAGGAAGAGACAATGAGTGGATCAGATTCTAGTGTTGCAATTGAAAGTGATAAAGAAGTGCAATCGAATAAAAAATCATCTAATAATAACGGTGATAATTCAAATAGTAATGGTGCTACTGGTGAAGGAGGTAATAATGAGGAGGGTAGTGATACCGAAGTATCAAAAAAATGGACTACCCGAACAAGATCAGCTAAAGTTGAAGTTAAAGTTGAACAACCAGAGATTAATCAAAACGATCCGGAAGCGGAATTTAGAAATTGCTGGTTTTATGATATGTTGCCCTTCATGGAAATGGATAAATTGGAATGGAGTTCAAAGATGACTGTTTTGTTTTATATTCTCGATGAATGTGAAAAAATTGGTGATAAAGTGATCGTTTTCACTCAAAGTCTTGATACTCTTGATTTTATTGAAGGCTGTCTTGAAAGTCGATCTCGAGGTTTGGCTGCTGCGGGAAGTTCCTATTCATGGAAACATGGAATTGATTATTTTCGTATAGATGGTTCTGTTAGTGGTGGACTTCGTAAAAGTCACATAGATATTTTCAATAATCCCGATAATCTTAGAGCTCGGCTATTTCTCCTTTCAACCAAAGCTGGAGGTCTGGGTATTAATCTTGTTGGTGCCAATCGATGTATCATCTTTGATGCCTCTTGGAATCCAACTCACGATATTCAAGCAATCTTTAGAATCTATCGATTTGGTCAGAATAAACCTGTATTTATTTATAGATTTATAGCCCAAGGAACAATGGAAGAAAAAATCTACGAACGTCAAGTTTATAAACAATCGCTTTCTGTTCGTGTTATCGATGAGCTACAAGTTGGTCGGCATTTTAGAGCTCAAGAATTGCAAGAACTATATAAATTTGAACCTGATACTAGACAAGAAAGGCCAATTTTAAATGTACCTAAGGATAGACTTCTAGCTGATCTAATTGTTAGTCATAAAGATTTAATTGTTAAATATCATGAACATGATTCTCTCTTGGAGAATAAGCCAGAAGAAGATTTAACTGAAGACGAAAGGAAAAGCGCTTGGTCAGAGTATGAACAGGTAAATCTGCAAATTAATATTCTGATGTAGATGAAATTGTACGATTATTATTGATCTATTTTTTTCTATTTTAACAGGAAAAAGAAGCTATGGCTGAAAGAGATAGACTCGCCGATGAACTCGCTCAACAAAGAGAAACAGCTTATCGTGAGTTCCAAAAGAACATGCAAAATCAAGCTCAAGCAGATCCAAATCAAGGAAATAATCAAGCGAATAATCAACAGCAACAACAACAACAAAACCAACCCAATAGCGCATTTTTTGAGGCTTATAACTTTGGTGGTCAAAATGCATTTTATGTTTACATGAAGCAAGCCCAAGCTCAGGCTCAAGCCCAGGCTCAAGCTCAGGCTCAAGCTCAAGCGCAGGCACAGGCTCAGGCTCAAGCTTTCATGGCCAGAGCCCAAGCTGAAGCTCAAGCACGTGCACAGGTAAATATATTAAATTTAATATTTGACATATTTAAATTCTAATCATTTTCATTAAATATTGCAATCGACAGCAACAACGGCAGCAGCAGCAACAACAACGCCAACAACAACAACAACAACAACAACAACAACAACGCAACAGCAACCGCAACAGCAACAACGACCTCAGCCACAGCGTCAAAGACAACCACGACAATCACGACAACCACAGCAACCACAACAGTCCCAACCTCAACCCCAACCCCAACCCCAACCTCAGCCTCAACCACAACAAAAACAACAACAGCAACAACAACAACAACAACGCGCCAATGCAACGGCTGATGGTAAGACGAAAAGTCTTCCTCCTTACGATGTGATGACTGTCGAGGATGTTTGGGTATACGTCGGTGATACTTTAGTCGATGATGCTCAAAAATTCCAACAATTATTCCGAATTTTATCTAACGGTCTATCGGTTGTTCTTCAGAGTTTAAATAAATTCAAAGATGTGAAAAAGGTAAACATCAACTCTTCCTTGTGACTTTATCTTCTCTCTCTTAAGGATAAACAATTCTAATCCGCATAATCTTTTCTCTAAATCATCCAGCAACGCGCTCTAACACCCGATGAAGCTAATCAAGAATTGAAACATAAAAAAGAGTTGGATAATCTTCAGAAACAAGTATCCAGAGCAAGAGTAAGTTTATCTGATCTTTTTAGTTAATCTCCTTTTTTTTATTTTCTATTCACTAATATAAAGGGTTTTCGTTCATTGTCATATTCAGGAAATGGCCAAAGTTCAAGTAAGACAAGAAGAGGAACCAATGAGACTTTCGAGCTTTAATAAACCAGTAGCGGAAATAATCGAGGAACCTGATTAATTGTCGATTTATTAATTTCTCAAAATGTTTCATAATTTCTTTGAAAAAAAGATCCATCGATTATCATCATTTTCGTTCTCAAATCTCATTCCGATTTATATTCTTCAGAGTCTGTAAATATTAATACCACTGAACAATTCACTCACAGATTTAATTTCCATGATTAATTTAGAGTAATAGGATCAATTCTATTACTCTTTAATTGGCCGTACTTTTTTCCCCACCGGTGAAAGGGCACAACGATTAGATACCAAGATCGTTTTCTTTTCTTGACCGCAACCCAAACATGAAAGAAATTAAACTTTAATTGTAAATCTCATTTTTCTCAAGTCTTCTAATCAATCATGTAAGAACTGAATTTACTAAATCATTCTCACATTTATAAATATAAATATATTTCATTTCGAAAACTGGACACTCATTTGTACCATCTCACCGATTCAATCGGATTTCGATTGATCAAATAAAACTGATTAATAATCTTTGATATTCTTGATTGATTCAAAGATGAGATTAATTGTCGCTAATCATTTTGCGAGAAAAACAAACAAAATTTTAAAGATCTACAATTAAAGTGAAAACAAACTTCCTACTCATTATTTGTAAGTCTAAATAAATTTGTGCTATTATTTGCTAGACAATTGTAATCAATTTAATTGGTATCGTTAGATTGGTTTAATTGTTTAACTTTCAATTGTAATTTCATTTACAAATATATTTTGTATCTTATATTTATTGAAAATAAATTGCAACAATTTAAATTGATAACAGAAAAGTAAATATATAAAACAACTAATCAAAATGATAAACAAATGCAAAATCAGTCAATAACCAGAATTTCATGAGGAAATTGATTGAATTGTTCATTTAACAAGTTTAAAAATACTAAACAATTATAATATCAATCATCTGATGCTCGGTGATGAAGTTTTCACTGATCAGTCCAGTTTATCGTTTCATTGATTTAACTAAACTGTTTGTACTGGTCAAGAATCGGGTTGATTATTGTTTTCAAGGAAATAAACAGTAACATTGCCAATGACAGTTTCCATGTTTTTACAAACTAATTGAGTTTTCTGCTTCCTAATTGCCAAGAAATGTTCGAGTATAAAAGCATTGAAACCCGATAGAAGAGGTAACAATTCGTTAATATGAATCCAACGAACATCGACAATTTCATGAAGATCTTTAACCGGAGTCATGTTATTCTCATCGATTGGTTTCAATTGACAAACGAAATAAATATCACTACACTTGAATTGGAATCTATGTGAATGCCTCAAGGCGATAACCGATTGAAACTGAGTCTTAATTCCAGTCTCTTCGAAAATCTCTCTCTCCGCTGTTGCACCAAAACCCTCGCCTTGATTAGCATAACCACCAGGAAATTTCCAGAACGGATAACCATGATGATATTTCTCTTTTACAACCAGAATTTCATCTTTACTGTTAATCACAAGTCCACCTAATACAACAACAGAAACAAACAAGACACAAGAACAAAAAAAAAAGGTGAGAAAATACCGATCAAAATGGCGGAATAGTTTTTCACTTACCAACACCAATATTAGTGTAAGGATAAGATGGGATATTGTTTGGCTCATCTTCCTTAATCCATTTAACTAAAGTTACATATCCCGATTTAGCATGATGATAATCAAATCCGTTCTTTACATGAGGATAATAATATAATCCAATTGATTAGAAAACAAAAAATGAGAGACACAATTGTTTACTTACCTCAATCAGAATGGGCACTAAATTTGAATGAACCAATTTAACTGTAAACCAAATCGCTCGGTATCCTTTGGTAGACCAGTCTTTCAATGAACCTTTGATTGTTTTAATTTAATCAACAATTAACATTTGATAAAGTAAAAAGATAGAAACAAAAAATGTATAGATAAATACACAATGTTTACCATTGAGATGAGTGAGGAAAAGTGATGAATCCTTGGTAACTTGAGGCATAGAAATTGAGATTTTATCTAAATCAACATTGACTCCATTGTATTTATCGATTGTATAATCAGTGGACAGAAAAGTGGACATTGTTTTAATACGATTAGTTGAACAATTAGTTAAAAATTGGTATCTATTAATTGATTGGATTAAATTAACTGATTGTCTAAACGTAAACATCTAAACAAAAACAAAGCTCAAACTGTTTTCCTTTACAAAGAGAAAGAGAAAAATTTTCTCGGTCTATTTTTCTGTCTATCTTTTTGTTTCTCTTTCTCTCTCTTTTCACAATTAATATTAATAAAATCTGATGATGATTAGTAAATTGATGACAATTAAATAGATGACTGATTAAGATTGCGAAGAAAATTAAATTGCTCTATTAACTTTTTCTTTTTGCTTTTCTTTTAATGTGATTGGTGTGAAGAGAGATAATTTCATTTTTCTATTATTAATTGATTGTTGGAAATTTCTCTTAATTGTCATTGACACTATTAATTTCTAATCAACAATTAAGGTACAATTTGAGTATTTAATCATTTCTTTTGATCATAATTGATTTTGTTCTGGTTTTCTTGTTTCCCGTTCAATTGAATCATCAAAGTAAATTGTTTACGATTAAAATTCAAGGTTTTTTTTTAATTTAGAAAAACAAATGAATCAACAATTAGTTAATTGTCAAGTTGTTTACGGTTTTTAAGTCTCAAGTATCAATTTACAAGGTTGATTGTGATGGTTGATTATGTTAACATAATCTTACGAAAAGTGAACTAAATTGATTGAGACAATCAACTAAATTACAAGATGATTAAGATAAATTTTTATATTCTTACCAACTGATTGTTACAACAATTAACTTTTATTACCAATCAAAGATCAACGATAATCAAAGTAACTAAATTTTGAAAATTTGCCAAGAAAATTAATCATTAATCATGTTAACTAATTAGTAAGGAAAAATTGATTTTTCTTCAATCAATCAATCAGTTAATTAATTCGCCACCGTCGATGATTTAATTCCCGGGGAAAATTAACTATTGAGACTTTGATTATCTAAGGGACTTAATTGTGTAATAGACAATTTATTAATAAGTTTTATCAAAGTGAAACATTGATTATAACCGATAAGTGTTCACTTGATTGTGCTAATTGTTTAAGTGTATTTCTCACAATCAGTCGCCCCAATCTGATTGCTTAATTGTGGTAGATACAAAATCAGTATAAAAGTGATCACTTTCAAGAAAGTTACTATTTTTGTCCATTGACAACAAATTGTGAACATTGTTTTTACTTTTGTTGATTAAGTAATTTACTTTGATAGTAGACTAAATCACTATGACCGATCGAACTGTTGATCGTTTGAATGGGATCACCCCGAGTGCTTTGGATCTAATTGGTAATACCCCGTTAATTGCTCTCGATCGTTTATGGAAAGGACCTGGTCGATTGTTGGCTAAATGTGAATTTCTTAATCCAACGGGAAGTCTTAAAGATCGTTCATCGCTTTTTATGATCACCAAAGCTCGAGAATCGGGTAAACTAAACGATGGTGATCCTGTAATCGAAGTGACCTCAGGTAATCAAGGTGGTGGAATCGCTTGTGTTACAGCGGTTTTAGGTCATCCGTTTACTGTGGCGATGTCAAAGGGTAACAGTCCACAACGAGCGATAATGATGAAAGCTCTTGGTGCTAATTGTATTCTTACCGATCAGGTTAATGGTAAACCAGGTAATGTTACAGCTGATGATGTGGCCGCTGCCGAAGAGGCCGCGATGAAAGTGAAAGATGAGATTGGCGCTTATTATGTTGACCAGTTTAACAATCAAACCAATTGGTTGGCTCATTATGAGATGACTGGACCAGAGATTTGGCGACAAACCGCTGGTAAAATTGACGCTTTTCTGATCGGCTGTGGAACTGGTGGTTGTTTTGTTGGAACATCGAAATTTTTGAAAGAGAAAAATTCTAACATCAAATGTTTCGTAGTTGAACCAGAGGGCTGCCAACCAATCGAAGGTTGTACAATAACCAAGCCACTTCATCTTCTTCAGGGGTCAGGGTATGGGTGCGTTCCAACTCTATTCAAGCCCGAACTGTATGATGGTACAATGGCCGTTTCGGATGAAGACGCAGTTAAATATCGTAAACTTTTAGGTCAAAAGGAAGGACTTTATTGTGGCTACACAACCGGGGCCAATATCGCAGCAGCAATCAAATTACTCCAATCAGGTAAACTACCAAAAGACGCTGTGGTCGTTACAATCCTTTGCGACAGTGGCCTTAAATATCCCGAATAGTTTTCAATCAACTGATGTTAACCCGAAATCGAGTTGAATGGGATCATTTTTGATTGAAAATGAATACATATCATCATCATTCAAATAGTAATCAGGATAAGTGAACATGAATCGAATGTGACATTTGATGAATGAACAGTTCGAAAAAAATTACACTCTTACTCGAGGAGAAGCTTTTAAGAAAATAAGCAATTTCTATTCTATTTCTATTAGTGGAAAAGATTTTCATGGAAAATACTTGAGAAAATTCATCTTCCCACCTTAGGCGAAGAAGAAAAAAATGTTCAATTCCATAAATAAAGTAACTTGAACTCGAAATCTGAATCCATAAATTCAGAGCACATTAATTATCTCTATTTCTTTATTTTATTTCTTTAATTGTAACAAGTATTAGATTGATAATCATGAATACCTAAAGTCTCTTGTGTAATTAACTAAATATTGGTAAGAGGAAAGTTCTTAATCTGTTCTAACTATGATAGAGATTAATATGAGATCGGTAAAAACCCAATTAGGCTCATATTGTACTTTAGATAATATTGATTATCATAATTATCGTTTTTCCATTGTGATCCAATGAAACAATCAACGAAATGATCAACAAAGTATCTTATACATCTTGAGATATTTACTTCATTTCTAATCCATGGTAACATGTTAATCATGTATTCAGATCAGCTTACTCGATGAAATTGGAGAGAAAAGTAATTAATTCATTGTAATTACGTTGATTGAATGGTAAATCATAACTAATTGTGAGAAGAAATAAAAAAAAACATCACAACAATTAAGAAAATACAAAACTATGATAATCAAATTGTTATACAAGAGGTGAAATGGAAAAGAAAAAAAAATCAATCAAATCAAATTTCCGGATTAAATTTTGGCAGCGACTGATTAATTGACAGTAACAATTGACTAAATTAAATTTAATTAAATTGATCAATCAAAGGGTTTGTTGTTTTTTTAAGGAAACAAATCAGAGCGCGAAAATTTAATGATCACTTTGTCATGGCTACAACAATTAAAGGTTGATTTTGTATTTAAAGTTAAATTGTGACTTTAATTAGATGGATTTTTATTGATTTTTGATTAAATTAATGGTTAATGAACAATTATTGGTGTTAATTTTGTCCAAGGAACAAAATAAATGTGAAATTATAAAGGTAAAGAAATTAGAGTTGATAAAGTTACTCAAGATTCAATTTGACTTGTCAATCTTTTCATATGATTGGTGATTTCCATTGTTGGGTAACCAATGGATGGAAATTAATTGTAATCAATTTCACTGAAACTACGACGTCGACGGCGACCATAGCCCATTCCTGAATAACCGCCCCACCCGCCATGTTCCATCTCCTTAGCGGGTTCGGGCTTCTCTTTCTTGCCCATTTTTTTCATCTTTTTATGATACTTTTTCATTTTCTTTTCATAGGTTTTCCAGCCACCAGCATTCACCAATGACAAGGTAAGCGAAATGAGAAGACACAAAATTAAAAGGTAACTGATTTTCATTATTTAATTGGTACTAAATTGTTGAGAGAAACAACAACAATTAAAACTGAAAGGTTTACGAAGATGGACTTATCGAGGTGTCGAAAACACAATAGAAAAAAACTTGGATCTCAACCGATTGTTACAATTAAACTTTTCTTTCTGATTGTTGATTAAATTGTGATGATTAATTGAACCTGGAAACGGTTTATATACTCACTTTTAAGTCTAATCATTTAAACTGATCAATTTTAATCACGCTAATTGTTGATTGTCGGATTGCAAGTTGGCCAATTTTGATCTTATACTTATACATATAAATTGTCAATAATTAAATTGATTGGTGACAAACGTTTAACAGTTTTCAAGTTGTGATCAAATTGTTACAAAATATAAATTTAATTACAATTAAAAAGCAAGTAAATTATGATATTCGAGTTCATTACCAATATAAACGAAACTAATTTAATAAACAATTTACTCTAAATTAAGGATAATTGCGTGTCGATTTGATAATAATCCAGTTAATTATCACATTCGGATGAAAATTACAATATATGTAGTCACAAATTGGATAATTGATATTCAAGGTAAGTTAATCAATAGATTGTTACATTAATTTTTAAAGTAAACATGTAATTGGAAAGTTAATTGAATCGATTATCGGATCAACAAATCGAGTCCCAAATGATTTAGAATGAAAATGAAATTAGAAATAAATTTGATATCTTTATGTTTACAATCAAATGGAATTAAGCTAATTGTTAATCTATTACAAAGATCGAGACGCAAGACATAAAAAATAAGGGAAAGTCTTTGGGATTAAAAAGTGTAAAGATAATCTAATGTCCTACTTTTAATCCAAAGGCGGATAAAGTCAATTCTCAAATAGATATACAGTTATTTTCACCCACAAACCAGAAACATGTTGATTTAAATGATGATGGTGATTAGAATTGTAATAAAAACCTCAACAAAATGGATAATCTTTTTTTTCCTTCACAATTATTATTGTAACAATTTGACGAAAAAGTTATTAATGTTATTGTTATTAATTCTAGTAATCGAGATACGGTTGATGGTATTGGTGTATTTTGAGTTTATCGAGATCGAAAGAGCAACCAAAGAGGAGGAAAAGTTTTCGAGGCCTTCGAAGAGGCGAAGTGGGTGGAAAATGATAGCTAATCCCTTTTTTTAGCTACACATGTTGATGATGATGATGATATCAAAGATTGTGAATGAGACACAATCAGGATCAGGATAATCGCCTGTTAATCCTCTATACCAATTAAAGGGCAACAAAAGGATTTAATCTCTTTCAAATGGGAGGTTGTCTTTTTGTACTACAATTTGTTTAACAATAGGAAAGTGAAAAGTCATCGAAATGGTTCAAAGAAATGATACTTTAGTTGATAGAAAGAAAGAAAGAGAGAGAGAGAGAGAGAGAGAGAGAGAGATTTTCTATCAAGTGATAGGAAGATGTAGAAGGAGAGATGAGGATGATGAATTTCTCGCAATAATCCAGGGATGGAGAAGAAAAAAATTGATAAAATCCATGAGGAAGTGGAAGAAGATGAAACTTGAAGGATAAGGTGGATTTTGGTGGTAGGACTTTGGAAAAGTACTTGTCATCATCATTGGTTTTCGATTATTATTTAAATCTTGATCGGCTGAATATCATTTTTCAATTGATTAAATGATAAAAGTGTAAATTGTTAGTTGATTGTTGATCATCTTCATTTCTCTTCTCCCGTATTAAATGATTAATTTCATGAGAAACGCACAAGGTGTTGTCTTAATGTTATTTTTGCCTTCGATTGTTATTCTAACCTAACCATGGTTATGATGATGCTCTCGACACTTCGACATAGGACCAACTAAGCACAAAAGTTTTTTCTTCCATCATCAGCCGCATCCTCATCTTCTCTCTCTCTCTCTCTCTCCCTTCCCCATCTTCTTCCGCAATTTTCTCTCCTTGTTGATCGCTCTATCAACTTCTCTCTCTCTCTTTATTTCTTGTCTTCTCTTTCTGGTCTTATTATTTTCATTCGATGCTTGTTGACTTAAATAGGATCATTTTCATCTCTCTCTTTGACTTTTCTCCATCTTCATCATCTTCTCACTTTCTACCTTTGTCATTTTCGGGCACAATTAAGGTCCATCAATAGGTGATATTATCCTAAGTTAATACAATATTTACTTATCAAACTCTCATATTTGAATTACTTTTTCTCAATAATGAATCATCATCATCACTCCTCTTCCACCTCCCTTTTAATTGATTGATTTTTCACTAACTCCAACCCCTTTCAATTGCTAATTCATTCATAATAATTGTATTAAATTTCATCTTTTGTTTTCCTATCCATAGATTTATCCATAAATTCTGGAACCTCAAAGTCACTTGAATGATTTACCGTTAACCGGAAGATTAATTTGTTTACTCAAAACAGAATCAATTTAATTAACATATAAAAAGTTAATGTTTACTTTTTTCAACAATTCTAAACAATTAATATCCCAAAGAAAAAAAGTCAAGATGATTTACCCAAAAAAACATCAACAATCAAATTTAAATAATAATTTCATTGAATGACAATGATTATTATTCAATAGGAAACATCAATCAAATAAATTATTATCATTTAGATATGAAAGCTGAAATCTCAGTCTATTTACCCAAGAGAAATTAAGTTAATTGTTTGATTTTTCCATCTTAATTGTTGATTAAATTGTAAATTCACTTATATCGTGTATCGATTTACATGTAATTAACATTGAAAGTTTATCGGTCAATGAATATTACCTTGAACTAGATAATTAACTGTTGCCATGAAAATAATTTTCGGACAATATTTGAACAGCTTAAATTGTTGTGATCGAAGTAATAATTTCGTGATTTTAACAATTTAACTAACAATTTTAGAGATAAACAGGTTTCACAATTGGTGAATGTGGTTAATTGTAATAACAATTTAATTCAATTCTCGATCAACAATCAGCTGTGACAATCATCGAATGTGTAAATTAAGCCGATCGAGTTAATCAAGTGTCTCTTTTTAGGTTTACGGTTTTACCATTAAATTAACAAGTGATTTTCATTTTGCCAATTTCGTATATAAGTTGATCTTATAATGTGATTCCAATGATGATGATCATTTCTAATCGCTGATTAGATTCGCATCACCAACAATTAATATAATATTTTCTTGCTCTTACAAATCCCTCACCTCTCCTTATGGATTAAACTAACTGTTGATTAGCTACGGAAGGTTTCAATCAACCCAAAAGGCCAAAAAGACAATCAAGTAAACTGACAATGGACAATAAAGTTAACAAATTCAATGTATCTCTCTCTCTCTCTCTCTCTCTTCTCTTTCTCTATGGTTGAATATGAGGTTTTTCCAATGAATTAATAGTTTTTTCTTGATTCACAATTAAAGATTATAATATTATTAATTGTCAACTCGGAAAAACATGAAAAGCGAAACTAAATTGTGTCTCAAATCAGAATAACAGGAACCGTACCAACACCATTGATAATAAGGATCAATCAATTTAATCCTCTTTCTCCTCGATCAAAGATAATCAAAAATAATTGTTCAGAACCATAATTATTATTGATATTGTCTTTTGAAATTTAATTATCTCTTATTATTAATAAGTTTTTCGATTATCTTTATCGCTTCTAATAGTTGTTATTATGACAATTCTTTGATTTTTTTTCTCCACTGATTGTTGACAATTTAGAATAAGCATTTAGCTTCTAATTTCTTTGATATTTTTTTTCTTCAATGTTGATTCTTCTTCTTCTTATTGTATAACATAGTTGATTGATTGTGAATTGTAACAATTGGTGTTTACAGAAAGAAATTAGAATAACCAAATTGAATGAATGTTGAAGGCGAAAAAAACAAAACCAGTCAACAAACTCACTGGTTCATCCAAATATTGGTCAGGGAAATTTATCAGCTGTTACCTTCCTTTATCATCATCTATTCATCTCTCTTCCTCTTCCTCTTTGAATCATTTATCCTCATCACTTGATCATCATCTTCATCTTACCCCAAATCATTTTTTTCATCACGATATTTACTCTGTAAATTCAATTCATATGCTACTAATTTCATAATAGATAATCAGTAATCATCACCAACGACTGATCAATTAACTTTGACATTACAATCATCTAATTGTTTGGTGATAATAATCAACAATTAGATGATAAATTTTCAAAGAACAATAAATTCAAATCAAATCATCGAGTATCAAAAGTCAATGGCTGTATCGTTTTCACATTTAGATAATTATTACAATTGATTCAATGATCAAATTAATATGGAAACTGGATTAGTGATAATAATTACAGATGATTACAAGTTGTAATAAAATTAATGTAAATGTTACTTGGAGTTTAATGTTGGGATACTTTCAATGGATAACATTATAGACACTTGTTTTTCCATAGGATTTGCAAAAGAAAGAGAAGATTAGGAAGATAAAGAAAGGGAAGATGGGGGCTGAAAAAGGGAGGCACGTGATTGGAAGTGCGTGCAGCGCGTGCTGATATAATTTGGCAGAGAGAGAGAGGGAGAGGGAGAGTGTGTATGTTAATTGAATCAACAATTCAATTTAGATGTCGAATCCATTTCTTACCTTAACATCAAACTAGTCAAATTCAATTACAATTGCGATTAACTATTTATTTACATTGATTGTCGCGTGTCCACTAAACTGTGTGTACGTGTGTCTATCTACCTGTTAATTGTAATTGTAATCAATCTAGTCAATTAAAGAGATTAATTTTTTTCGTAAGACAAACAATGGTTTCAATTTTTTAATGGTCAATTTCGTTATGATTTTTACCTGTAATTTACCTGGAAAATGAATAATAATCCTAACAATCTATTTCAACTTAGTTATTGGATCTCTACTCCATCTAATCACGATTCTAATTCAATTGTAATTGCTGAACAAGATCTTCCAATTGGATTTCATACACTTCCAACAGCAAGACCAATTTCACTTCGAAAAATATTCAATAAAAACAACAATCAGCCGAAACAATTAGTCAAGGTAAGTCTTAATTACTAAATTAATCTTAACTCTAATCTAATCAATGATAATCATCGTTTCCCATTAGGCTTACATTTCTGAACTTGGAGTGATAACAACTCGTGAAAATATTGATTGGATTCATTTGGTTAGATTAGCTGATAATTGTTTTGAACAGAATTTATTAATCCACTGGAACGGTGATAAGAAAACACTAATTGGTACAACAATTAAGCCAATTGCTTCAGGCGATGAAATCAAAGCTTGGTTTCCAATGGATTTACTTGATTTCTTATCAATTCCCTTTCTAAATCCAATCAACATTATCCACTCATCAAGTTACCAATGTGTTAATTGTGAATCAAATTTTAATCAACCAAATCCACTTAAAATTCATATTGCTTTTGATTGTCCAATACAATTAACCAACTATTCACGAGAAAATTGTCTCAATAAAAGTTTACCTTTAACCTCAATTTTAGGTTCAACTATAACACCAACAACAATCAACGGTTTAAATTGTAATCCTTTATTACCAACAAACACCAACATTAACTTATCCCAATCATCAACACAATTAACTCGCCTAACATATAAATCATCATCATCTCCATCATCATGTTCACTATCATCAACAATAAACAAAACACCAATAACCTCATCATCGTCTTCATCTTTATCTTCACTTTCATCAATAAGTTTCCAAGAAAATGTTGGCCCATCAATCCCGAAGGAGATAATTGAACCTTCAGCAAATTTATCACCACAATCGAATGTCCCTTTAAACAGCAACAGCACCAATGCGACAATAAATTCACATGTCACCTCGTCACACTTATTCGGTACCAAAGAACCTCGAAGTCACATTTGCGTCTTTTGCGGTAAACTTTACACACGAAAGTATGGCCTTAAAATACACCTGCGAACTCACACTGGACATAAACCATTATCATGCCGATTCTGTGGTCGACCATTTAGTGACCCGTCCAATTTAAACAAGCACATTCGTCTGCACAGTCAACACCATTCGGGAACAGCCTCATCACCTTACAAGTGTAAAAAATGTTCTAAAATCTTAGTTCGACGACGTGACCTAGAAAGACACCTTAAATCCCGACATAAACTGACAACATGACGATGGAATCAATCAAACTCAACAAACATCAAACAATAAACAAAAAGATGAACAAAAAAAAATCACCAAAGTTTGAATTTCTTTTGTAAATATTATCATACAATTCCCAGTGAAACTTATCATGATTGTCAAATAATCTACCACGAACTCTCCCCCTTTACGATTCCATTTATAGAAAACTATTATCTGTGTAATATTTGTAATATAATCAATTGTAAATTAACCTGTATTTTCATGATGAAACTGATGATGTCCAGATAATATGATTGGTTAACATACAAACTAATCAACTAATCATTTGATATTCATGCGCCTTCAAAATCCTAAACGTAATCCTGAGTTTATCCTTTCAACGATTATTATTATTATCACTACGAATGCGTAAATCTTTTTATCATCATCCTGCTCATCATCATCATCTTCATCTTCATCTTATTTCCTCTTTCATTGTGTATAAAAAGATAACATTTTTCTAGAATCAGATTCATTCCCAATCCATCAACAATACTTTCATTTTGTTCAATTGTCGAGTTTGTATTTTTTTCCCTCTCTCACACAACCATTAACAAATTATTACGAAAATAAATCGCTAATTAAACTAATTAATTGTTGTTATAACTTCTTATCAAATTGCGATCAAAACAAACATCTTTCAACAGTTTTCTTGTGAAGATAGTTAATCATTGTAACAATCAACTGATTCCAATTTGATTCAGATAATTGGGTAAGTCTTTTGCTATTTCTTATTGCAATTAGTTAATTGCTTTTGGATCACTAATTTAATCAATTTACACTTTTTTCCAACCAAATATCAATATGATATTAATTAGACTATCACAATTTCATTTGATTTAACTGTTAATTGTTTGGTTTAACTTTACTTTCCTCATTGATTATTGATTGTTGGTTTGATTACTTTGATTGATTGTTGGTCTTAATTATCATAAGTAATGTACAACTAACCTAATTTAGTTTCAATTTTTTTTTCTGTTGGTGTTAATATCCATTAACAGGTTAACAATTAACTCTGTTGTTAGGGATTGATTTGTTTTCTCACAATTACAATTAGATTAATATAACTATTACTATCACTAAATTGTATTTTATCAAGTGGATTAAGTGAATTGAATTTGATTAAAATTGTGACAATAATATTGTGTTAAGAAATGAATTAAATGTTAATCTGTTTGATTGAGATTGTAATCTAATTAACTGAGTGATGAAACAGTTAACACTAATATAATCAATAGTGTTGATAAATTATCATGTTGATCATAAATTTCATCAGGAATACAGATAACTACATGAGTTTTATTTATCAAATGATAATAATCAAATGGATCGTACGATTAATTGTGAAAATTAATGTTCTCATCAAAGGTTGATTGTGATAAATTGTCAGATAAATTAGTAAACAAATTATGATTTATCATCTCTATCCAATTTAGATCAACTTAATAACCGCAACAAATAATTCATAAATTGGATTCTCATCATACCTTTGATTACTATTATCTAATCAGAGACAAAGTTATCAAAATTGTTCATCTAAATCATATTCACCACGAACGAAATTTGATCAAATGAAGATGATAATCAATCCCAGTTATCATTTGATTATCCACTTATCAGAATTTTCAATATTCTATCATAGTATTTTCCTCATCCAATCAGAGAATTTGTCTCTTATTAAGAACAAAAAGAAAATTATCTTGTTATAATATCTTTTTAAGAATTTTGTGCTGAACTTTGTAACTTGTTCTTATTTTGGGTCTTGTTGCAAACTCTTTTCGACTTCATCTTCCATTGTCCATTTAACTGACCCCTTCATCTTTTACTCTCTCAATCCTTCATCTTCATTTTCTTCAAATCTCTGTTGCTTCATCTTCTTGTCCATCTTTTAGTTAACTTGTGATTGAGTATAAAACATGGGAATTCATGTAATTGGGTGGAAATGGGAGATCCATGGAATGAAAATTGAGTTTATGTTTTGAGAAAATAATGGAAGCCCCTTAAGATAAATGGCTAATGAAAATCTTTACAGTTTAATAGCTTAATTCAGTTGATTTAGTTTCTCTTCTTCTTCCATGTTCCATGATATCATTATTGTTATTTCTCATGTTGACCATCAGTAGTCTTGGAATTGATCTTTGACCGTTGTCTTATCATTCTCATCTCATCTTATCCAAATTTTCATAACCAAAACTGATCCAATTTATTCCTGTAATAATAAAGCAGAGAGAGAGAGAGAGAGAAATATCAAGTTAATTAAGGAATAAATTTCTATCACTGTGATTGATTACATTTCAATTCTTATATCAACATGTAAAAATCAGATTAAATTCTGATCTCATGAAATCTTTTGATTTTAGTTTGAAAAAATATTCGATTACCAACAATTTACTTGATCGGATTATCATTTGTTTTTTGTATTTCCAATCATGAAAAACAATCTTAATACAAATTAATTAAACTAATTGGTGACTATTGATTAACTGATTCTACTTAAAGATGACCTATTGTGAATATAAATTGAGTATCAATATGATCAAGTGCAAGTAAATTACTGTAATTAAATCTGATTAGATTTGATTGTTTAGTATTCTGTATCTTTATCTTTAAGAGGGATAACAATTAACATGAAAATTATGAATATGATTGATGAAAATTACGATGATTAGATTGTTAAACTAAATTAGAGGCATCTAATCAATATGGAAATGATTATTAATTAGATTGATTGTAATTCATTAACAGTTAATACTAATCAGACAAAAAGTTCACCTACTTTAATAAACGATTATTAAATCAATCGTAAATCCAGTTCATATGAATTTCCATTGATGATGATTTTGTTAATTACTCAATTTGCCAACTATTAACGATCAGCTGATTTGTCACGTTCACCTGTTGATAATTAATAACAATTAACATTCATCATCAACATCATCCATAGAGTAACAATTGTAAGGTAATAAAGATTAACCTTTTAGATGGATAAAAGTTTATCGAGCAATTAATTTAATTGTCACCAATTGAATCTAACCAACAGTATGTTTCTAGTTGATTGTGCTCTAATTAAGAGGATCGATGATCAAACCAATTGAAAATCAATAAGAATAAAAGTCAAATTGAAAGGAAGAAAACATTAAATATAAACACTTGAGAGATTCTATTCTACATGTTAACCATGATGATATTAGCTGAACATTTAATGAACTTTGTAAATGAACAGAATGACCTTTCGGTCGAAGAGTAAATTCAAATTGTACTAAATCATTTGGTGACAATTTAATCCAATCCAAATGAACATCATCAATATCCAATTGACAATTTGTCCAAAGTCCTAAAGGTAAACAAAACCATCTTTCATAATTGTTTAGTTATCATCGATAAACAAAGAGTCACTTTGAGGCCGAGCAATTAACTAATCATAGAGTAATTGTAATTAAAGACAAGTGCAATTTGATTGATAAGATAATACAAATCAAGAGAGAGAAAGATTTTAATCATAAATGTATAATCCAGGATATTGATTAGTCTCGCTGATTGTAAGTGTTAGATTGTTGGTAATGGAAAAACCAGTTTTAATTCAGTTGAATTGTAGCACAATTAAAACAAGAAATTGGAATGACGAAAGAAACTTTGAGTTGTGATAATGGAATCGAGTGGAAAGTTAGATTTTATAAACGCTTTTTAGACCACTTTCCTCATCGAAGGGGATGTAGCTCAGATGGTAGAGCGCTCGCTTAGCATGCGAGAGGTACCGAGATCGATACTCGGCATCTCCAATTTTTTTTTCGTCTATTCAATTGAGTCGAATCTTCACTTTTCTTAATTATTAATATTAAATATTCTTGAATTTATTTTATGAATTATTTTGATTTTTTCTTTGAAATTTTTGCTGGGGGAAGGAAAAGATCATCAAGGGGAGGGTATGAAGGCTTGAAGTACCGATAGATTGTAAATAAAAACCTCGAACTGGGAAACAATTTATTGTCAAGTTGATCTTTTTATCATAATCAAACTGAATGTCACCCTGAACAGTTTGTGACCTTTTCACCATGAGAAAATGATGAGAAAACGATGAATTGAGATTCAATCGTAATGATAAACATTGACTCTAAAAAAATGATTTAGATAAACAATTTGCCCTGAAAAGCTTCAGGGAATCAGAATCTTCAGAACTTTTGTTTTCTTTTGTTGGAAATCTTTTTGTTATTGTTGTTAAACATTTCAAGTATTTCATGATGATCATGACGATGATTTTTTCTACCATGACATACCTGAATAAACCGTCTGAACTTTTATCGTTATTAGTTGGATGATTGTAATCGTGATATTGTTTTTTTTTCATCATGATCAAGATGAACAATTTAAATTTCAATGAGAGTAAAAGTTTCCAATGTAATTTATTTTTTTCATCTTTTTTTATGATTTTTAGTTGTTTTCCTTGATTCTTTCAGGATAATTAAATTAATCTACACCATCAAGACAATTTTCAGAGGAAATTTATTGCTAATTGATTAGGATTATCATGGATTTGATCTGATTGTTAAACGTGATTAGAATTACGGATTAAAATATTTTCTAATTCTCGATGAAATATCAATTCAAATCATTGAAATCTCATGAATAATTGGCAATTAGATTATATCAGAAATTCATGATTCAATCAATCTATTCAAGATTACAACAATTAGTGATCAATTTCAATTCTTCCCTCGTTTTCACAGCTTAATACTTGTAGTTAGTTTGATTGTTATTTCATTGTTTGAATTCAAATTAAATCACAATCATTATCATAACATTAAAATGAATTAGTAGGAAAAAAAACTAAGAACTGAGAATTGATTTCCTGTGATAATCATGACAATAATTAACATCCATGATAATTTAAATAATTGAAAGGATATTGAATAGAAAATATTGCTTTTAATCAATTTAAATTTAGTTTAGTTTCGTTGAATTTATTATTATATAAATTTGATTGTTGATCTATTGTAATGTAAACCTGAAGGAAACAAATATTAGTTAGATAAACACTAGAAAATGTTTATTCAGAATCAGAATACAAAGTTATCATGAACAATCAGAAAATTCTGAAACACAAATTAAACTGAATTAAGAGCTAATTATTAGACTAATTATTAGTGCCAATGGTTTGATGGCTTTTAATAGATACGATAATTTGTTTGATTAATTTACAAGTTGATTGATTGATTAGATCAGTTTTCTTATTTTTTTGTAGACGATTGAATTAATTATCGAAATTTTTTAATTGCTTGGTGATTAAGTTAATCATTTGCTAATAGATATTTATTGATTGTTGATAACATCATTTTCTTACATTTACTCCTGTAATTGGTCATTTTAATTGTTCATTATCAATGAACAATCAGTTTGATGTCAATATGATCTCGATTAAGTCTATTCTCTGTTTGGATTAAATTGTTGAGCTTGATTAGGCAATTAACTATCTTAACAATCAATGATGAAAGACTTTTAGATTTCCTTGTTGTTGTTGTATCTTAATTGTTATGATTAAGCTGGAGTAAGAAATAATCATGACTTTAATTGTGATCAATAGGAAATATGAACAATTTGTTAATTTGATAACCAGATCAAAGTAACAACAAGATGCTAAACCATTTGAATTGTAACCAATATATTGATGGTGGCATCTTAATTGTTGACGATAATGAACTAAAAGTGAACTAAATTAGTGAAAATTTAGAAATGTTATCAAATTAAGTTGATGAATCTTTAGATGTTTATATTCAATTTTTACAATTAGTTAATTGATCAACTATTTAGATGATTTTCTTCGTTTCTTTTTCCTTGTCTCGTATGCTACAAATGTATTGACTGAACTTCGAGAACTTTTTGACCTTTTTGAAACGCTTGACCTCCGACGGGAAGATGATGATCTTTTCGATTGTTTCTCTTTAAAATTGAATGTGACCTTTTTAATTTTGCTCTTAATCAGTTTTCCGGTTAAACTTTTATCACTATGAAGAGCGACTCCTTGAGATGATGAAATAGATACAATTGAATCAACGGACGGAGAAGTGCCTCTACTTGGACTGGGAAGCGGCGTGAATTTTGAGTCTTGTTTTATCGAGGGAAATTCAGCACTTGGCTTGATCACAGGTAAAATTACAGGTGAATTTTGTGTCAATTTTGAGGTTGAACTTTTACTTAGTCCACTTGATAACATGGACGAACTTGAAGCGACAGTTACAGCGGCAAGTTTACCTCGTCTAGTCCTTTTTGAAGTAAACAAACCGATCGCTGACATAATGATAATCGTCACGATAACGGCCAAAAATGACCCAAAATAATTTGGATCGGTTACCAGTACCGATAATCCGGCTGGTTCTTCCTCAGTGGTTGTCGATGAAGGTGTTGATGTTGTTTCAATTGTTGAACTCTCGGCAACTGTGCTACAGTCTTGAGAGGAAACTTCTTGAATCGATGAGTCCGAATCAATAAAATCGGATAATTGTTCTGGTAGATCAATTTCTGGATAAATATCAATATACTTACAATCAACATAATTAACTAAAAAACTGAGAATCAACAACAGTAAATGATCACTGATCATATTTATGATTTCAATGTTGATTGTTTTAAATCATTTTGATGACAATTTAATCCAATCCAAATGAACATCATCAATATCAAACTGACAATTTGTCCAATGGCCTGAAGGTAAACAGAATCATCATTTATAATTGTTTGATTATCATCAATAAACAAAAAGAGTCACATTGAGGCTAAACAATTAACTAACCAAAGAGTTGTAATTAAAAACAATCACAATTGAAAAGATAATATAAAAATTTATAATCCAAAATGATTTGATTAGTATGAATGATTTAACTATAAAAAAGTTAATTGTTAAAGATACAAATACCAGTTATTATATTTGATTCACAATTAAAACACAATTAAAACCCAATTAGTTGAATTAATGAAATAAAAACAATTTGAACGACTTTAGCTAATCATAATTGTGATCATTTATCAAAACAATTTGCTAAGATGATTGTTTAAAATTTAGATAATCAATTATAATGATTAATGAATGGGAAAACATTTCAATCAATTGATTAGCTATTAATGAAAGGTTTGGTTAACTATGGTAAACTAATTACGAGAAAAATTTAAGATTATGAGGCAATTAGCTTATTTGATAATCAATCAATTGATTAAAATTTAATCTAATTTAATGGTAATATCAGAGAGATAATTTTCTCAACTCATTTTGTAACAATTTAAAATGATTTCCATCAAATTAAATTATTAACAATCAACAAGATGAAAAACAGAAGCAAATAAAAGTCAACTAACAATTAATCTGATTACCTGAGTTGATTGAATGCTAATTACTTGAAGGAATCAATTTTCTTGATCAACAAAATTGAAACAATTTAAATCAATCTTATTCTCAATCAGTACAATTAAATTATGAGAAAACTTTTCCTCCATAACCATCAGAATTACCAATAATTATCAATTGACAAATTCTGAATTCAGAGCTCATAATCATCATGAACATGAGGTTTTCCTAATTATCAATAGACAATCAATAGTAAATATCAAATGATTTGATTAAATTTTGTTACAACAAATCAATTGGTGTTACTTTTAATAAGAAAGGATATAATTGCCTGAGGGCAAGAAAAGATTACAATTAAGAAAAGGATAAGCAATTGACCAAAGGTATCGAGGTCAAGATGTTATTAAGCAATGATGAGACTGATTGTTGATACAATTTAATTTCCGTTTTCTTAAATCATCAAGATAATCAAATTAAGAAAATGTCTCACAAAAAAACCATTTAATTAAAAACAGAGAGGTTGAGACAATATTCACAATCAATTAATCATCTTCCATGTTTAATACTTGTATTTAGTTAATTAACAATTAGCTGAAAGTAAGTTAATCATTTTAATGAATTTTCTTACACCTTTGAGATTTAATTTTTGTAATATTAAAATAGCAATTAAACTAAATGATTAAGTGTATTTAGATTGATTAATTTGCTTCTCTCTTATTATCAAGCGAATCAAAAATTGTCAATCTAATAATAACATTGACAATTTATAAATTGTCACAATCAAGTGAAAAGTGGCAATATTATTATTAGAATAGCAGATTGTTGTTATTAAATTGTTCCATTGATTGTCAATTGTTAATTTCCTTTTTCTTTGCCAATGACAATTTGAGGTTGTCATTTCAATTTTTTTGCTCTTTCTCTCATTGAGAATCAATCAAATTCATATTTCATCATGATGATTAACAGAAAATGAGTAAACAATCAATTTGAACCCTGCGGCGATTCATTTAAATACATTGACAATTTATTGTCTTTCATGATCAATGTGAATTTCAATCATTTCAGTATTCAAATTATTTATCCACAGGTATCAAGATAACAGGTAAAAACTATTATATAATATGTTGATCATTTTTTCACCTGAATTAATGATTAACAATCAGAATTATGATGATTTTGATTTGTGAACATAAATTGTTCATTTCGTGTTGATAAAGATTAACAATGAAAGGTAAATAGAGATACAAATCTAAGAGAAAAATAAATTGTTTCATTAATCGTTAATCATTTCTTATAAATCATCAACATTATCATCATGCTGTGTGATTTATTTACAATTAAATCAATTTCTTGTTGATTGTGAGCAAAAATCTATAAGCTCATTACATGAACGGGGAAAAAAGATTTACGGATCTCGTTGATTATTATTACTTTTTAACGATCATCAGAATTAGATCACAATTAACAAGAGAGAGACAATTTTTTTCTCTATTGATTAAAGTAAACAATCAACATCAATCAATTTGATATTCGAGAAAATATCAACAGAAAAAAAGTTCTAACCTTCGATTCTTTGATGATTATTATCTCTCCTTTTCCGTTTCCATCGTTGATTTTTTGTTCCTCTTTCGGTGTAAAAACTTGATTGTAATTAGCGTGTTGATTATGTTGATTAATTGTAACACTTTTTTGAACATTTTCGATGATAATGGTTGATAAACAATAACAGTTTCCATGTGATAAAATGATTCAAATATCAGTTGACTGAGCATTAAAATCAGTAACCATGAACCTGGAACCATGAAAATCTGAATAAAAGCAAAATTTAACAAAATAAGAACATAATTTAAATTGTTTGGATCATCTCTTAATCATTTAAGGATATTCAAACATGCACAAACACAATTAGATGACAAATCAGATTCCATTAGATTGAAAATCTATTAATAAAGTATAAATATATTGTTATCAACTGTCAGGGAATTAGATATTCATGAATAACTGTTAATCTTGATGAGGAAAAGAATTGAAATTTTCTATTTCCATCTTAAATTATCAATCAATATTTACTTTCACTGATTTAGTTTCATGGCAGATAAATTTAGTTGATGATAATTTGATTGTTTCTAATCAAATTAACAAACATTACTCTTCCCATAGAGTTAACATTGAACTTTGTTTTTCCCTTCCTCTCTCTCTCTCTCTCATCATTAACTATTTGATTTTGTTCAACTTTACCCTTTGATTGGTTGTTGATTGTGTAACAATTAACGTTAATTATCATGTTTCCAAGGTTGATTGTTGATTGAAGATTATGAAGAAAACAACTTATCAGTTTTCTCTATGGAAAATGTTTCATCATCTGGAAAACTCATTGACCTTTGCCATTGAAACTATTCAGAGGTTGACGATTACATGAAACAATCAAGATCATGGTATGATAATGATGATGACGAATATATAATTATGCCAGTTATTCAGTTTCAAGAAATTCACTTGGATTTATCGTTGGAAATTTTCATCGGTCTCCTGGTTTTCATTGTCCATCCATTTTAATTGAGAAACATTTCCATTATGATTAACTGTCAGAAATCAGCTTCTCTTTGGAGGTCATCGTAATGGTCAATCTTTGTATTATCAATGGTTCCATGAATTCTCATCATGTTCATTGTTGTTCCTTTCTTATGTACAGAAGATAATTAACTTTAATTATATATAATTTTTTCGAGATTAATTTCGGTTTTCCTGGTTAAAGATCTTTGTTTGTTTTTCTCTCTTAATTTTGTTCCATTTGTCGAATATTATTTTTTCTTCTTGTTGTTCGGTGACTTTTTACTTCCCATGAACCGGAAATTATATCATGAGAATGAGAAACTGTGGTGAAACTTTTTCTTCATTCAAGAGAGAGAGAGAGAGAGAGATAGAGTATAAAATGTACATGATGATTCTGAGAGTTCTGAAGTTTCATCATCTCAAGTAACTGTAAATAAGAAAATATCATGAGCTCATAATTTAAAAATGTAGAGAAAACTAAACAAGATAATTTATTACCATGAATAATTGATCAACTCTCTTAGTGTTAATATAAAAGGAAAAACTGACCATTGGTCATCACCTATCAAAGTGAAAATTTTACTCAAATACTAACCAATTGATATGACAGATTAACATGAACATGAGTGATGGCGGATTTTGTCCAATGGTGTTTTCTATTCATTGTTTCCGGTTGATATTCATCATGTTCATCCTCCGACCCTCCCTCTTCCTCTCATCTTCCTCCCTGTGGATACAATTTCCACCCTTTTGGTATATAAACAGAACAAAAAAAATCTGAAAGAAAAGAATAAATTTTTTCATTGGAAAAAAAAGTTCACAATCAAAATCGTCATCGAGCCAAAGATATAAGTTTCCTATTCTTTTTTCTATATACATAATATAATATGAACATGATCCAATTCCAAGTCATGGGATAATTCAACATTTTCTTCAGTTAATGTTCAGCATCATGTTCCATGAGGTTCATTGTCTGTAAGGAAGAAGAAAACAAAAGACTGAGTAAAAAAAGAAAAAGCCAAGATGATGAACTTTGATGTAAAATGTTGAGTTGGAAATTCTCATGAAATACTCGTGAATGTCCATCTAAATACATCAACGAATAACATTCTGAGTGGTAGATAATATAACGAAAAAGGAATGAAATTATTCCCCAATAGAATTGAATTTTCTTTCTCTTCATGTTAAATACCCAATCAACAGTTCGGAGTCAAAATTGAATCAAAAAGATGGCCGAAATGACAACTTTGAATCAATTTTGACTCAAACTTTTTTGATCAATTTTTGAACACTTTTTACTCATTTTTGATACAACTATTTCGAATAGTTGAAATCACGGAAATGATAAAATGGAGATTTTTTTGAATTGGTGCGAATCATAGTCTGATTCGACTTTGATTCAAATATTTTAATTCACAAAAGATTGAAAGAAAAGATGTAGAAACAGAATTTCAATATAATTAAATAGAAATTGAAAGGATTCATCTTCATCTATTTATTATCGAAATGCAGTATATTATTTCAAAGTCAAACATATTTAATGAAAATTAATAATTAGAAAATTTATCAAAATTTTTCTCAGAAACAATTTGGATCGAAAATATCAGAAACATTGTCACCATTATCAGCCTCGAAATACTCATCGTCAGTATCATTTTCATCAACATCTTTTTCTGAACTTTGATTTTCTTTACTAGTGGTGGCTTGAAAACTATTTTCACGTCGAATATGCGACAAATTTTCTTTTTCTTTTTTGTCTTGTTTATTTTCTTTCTTTGAAGTAAATTCATCATATTTATTCGAATCAGATTCAATATCAGAGCTACTAGATTTTCTTTCTCGTTTCTTCTGGCCCTCCTTTGATTGGTTTTCTTTTCCATCATTTTTTCCCTTTTCTGACTTGCGAATTCCAGAATTCAACGCAGAAATTTCTTTTCCTATTCTCATTCGAATTTGTTTTTCCAAAGCATCATTATAATCGTGAATATTGCATTTTCTAAGAATATGTTCTATGGAAAATAAATTGAAAATTAAATTTCGAAACAGTAAATGACCCAAAGAAGCAAAAAAAGTAAGTATGAATCAGTTATATTTTCCATACCGATAAATGCCTGAACTCTGTCTTGTCCTCGAATGAAATCAAAATCGCCAACAAGTGGTTTATCGTAGGGTTCACTGAATCCCCATGCAACAGCTAGTGGAATAGAAATTCTATTTTCTTTACCTTGAGAAATGACTTTTCTGAAGTATTCAACTTCATCCTCTGTGTAGTTTTTTCTTCCCAAAGTTATGTGATTAATATATGATGTTGGAAAGGCAGTTTTTGTTAGCTGATAAGCTAACGAACATGGATTATTCCCTTTTGCTTGGAAAATCGCAGATCTATACTTATTAATACTCAATTCTACTTTACCTTCAAGAAAAATTCTGCCTTTTGATTTTGACTTTCGAGTTTCATCAATATCAGGAATTTGAATCATCTCATTTTTTTCATCAGAGATCTTTCTACAGAGAAGGTTTGAAATGAAAGATACAATATCAATCAAGTCAATAATTACACTTCCATTCACATCAACAAGGGAGAGAAGATTCTTCTTTTTCAAAACTGTATCAATCCTTGATTCCAATTTATCCAATAAATGGCTCTCATCGAATGCGCCCGATTTTTTCGTCTCTTTTTTTGGCTCGATTTCTTGCTCAGGGTTATATCTCTCCTTCCTCTTTTTGGCAGCTCCGTAATCCTGTTCTTGTTCGTAGGGTTCATCACCATCGCTATTGAAATCGGGATTTTCTTTCTCATGAAAACGAGAATGTTTACCAATTGAATCACTTTCCTTCTGAGATGTTCCATCCATAGATTTGTGAGAACCTGACATTTTCCCTCTCTGAAGAGCTTTTTTGAATTCAATGAATGATGCGTTATTCATCTTTGGATAATCAAGAAATGAAAATTCACGGTCGGGTTTGTGTTGAATCTTGAAACTTAGTTGCGCGTTTCCAATCATCTTTTCACAGTTTTTCCACTTTGGATTATTTTTCACATTCCTCGTCATATTGTTTTTCACTTCAAATGCGTTTTCTGAGATATGAGAAAATTGTTTAGAGAATTAGAATCATAAAAAATTTTATAATTAAAAGAGAAACTTACTTCCTATTGAAATTATTTCACCCATTAGGCAATATGAATCGAATTCTAGTTGAAATAGGTTGAAGAAATCCTCACTGAATTTGTCAAATGGCCATTCGAATCCAAGCTTCAAAAGTTTCTCTTTCGATAGATTCAAAAGAACAGGTTGTTTGATTCTTTTCAATTTTTCATCAACAACAAAAGGAAGAAAAAGAACATAGAATAAGCCATTCTCATTCTCACGGAACAGATTAAGTTCACTTGAACTGGTTTCTGGATTATCGTAGATTTGACTTATTTGAGTAGAATGTTTAGAAACTCTTTTCATAGATATCACTGGTGCACTTGATGGAAATGAAATATCATTGCTTTTTTTAGATTCGATGACTTGCGAAGAAGATGTTTTCGATGTGATGTCAGAATTGATCTTTTTCTTTTGACCATCTTTCAATAAACTATCCGATGGCTCTGTACGCGAGTATTTTTTCACTTGACATGTAGAAATTGAGGAAACATTTGATCTTTTTCTCACTTTACTTTTGTACATATTACAGTTAATTTCAACTAGTTAGAAGAAGTAAACTTTTCTACAGCGTGAATATAAATGAAGAGTAAGTTCAATAAACAAAATTTATTTTGTAATCAAATTGTAAAGGAAACGGAAATTCAAAAATGAAAAATAGATTGGATGAGAGAGGGTTGAAATCTCCTCTTGAAAAATTTTGATTGGACTGTTGAAAGATATTTGATTGGAAATTCATAAGTTGATTTGAAGGGGAAAGAAAATCTTTCTTGCTAAATATGGGGTTGAAGTAGTTTCCCCTGCATAATTTCATGTTGTGGTATAATTTTGTTGAAAGTAGAATTTTGTCTGTTGAAAAAAAATGTAATCTTCACTGCTAATTGGAAGAAATTTGAAAAAATTGTATTTGAATTTTTTGATGGAACTCACGGTTTTGGCAAATCTGAGAAAATACTTGAAGGTAAGTTGTTCTTACTTGCCAGTTGATTAAGCCAAGCTAAAAGTTCCGGTGTCATCTTAGGTGGAGCAACATCGGATGTTGAATCTTTTTTTTCTTCATGAAACTTTTCGGCAGACCGCTTTTGCTTTTCAGTCGACTGTAGATTAGACGAAACATCTGGTTCAATAATTTCTTGGCTATTTGATGGGCTATCTGAATCCCGGTCAATCTGTTTTGGGATTTCCTGGGTGAATGGTATTATTACAGAATCACTTGTAGACGCATGAAACAAATCAGTTGTTGTTTCTAAATTCGGTTGATTAACAACTTTAACTTTCTTGACAAAATCTTTTTGAGTTTCTGCAGCTCTTTTCCGTCCCGAAGAATCTGTCGCAGCCATCTTTTCTGTTTCAATAAATCCAGAATCATCGTGAGAACTTTTGGAATCGTGTTTTCATGATCAGCGTTTTCAGTGGCAATGGAATTTGTATTTTGAGATTCAAATTCTTGAATTGCAAGATTTTCCGCTTCAATTAATTCTTGCTCATTTTCAGTAGCTGGAAAATCAATTTCAGCTTGCGGCTCAGCCAATTTGACACTCGAATTACTGATCGAATCATTATCCATTCGTCTCTCTAACGCAGCCTTTTTTTCTCGTAGTTCTTTTTCAATTTTCTGTTTAAGCTTTTCTTCTTCAAGAAGTTTCATTGCTTCCTTGTGTTGTAATCTTTGAGCTTCTTGTGAGTTTGGTAGATCCAGAACTTCATCTTCATCGCCACCAAAGAACGTTTTATCCGGACTGTCTGTAGAAATCGTTTCAGTTACCTGTCTTTCATCATGATCAGATTTCTCATCATCAGAAGCCATCATCTCAGCATAGGTTTTTCGCTTTGGTCTAGGTGATGAAGAATTTGAATCAGACCAAATCTCTGAAGAGCTTGATTCTTCTTCACTTTCAACGTCCTCACAAGAAACTTGAAAATCCGAGTCGAATTCAATTGTATCGTAATAAAGAGGTTCATCTTTTGGAGCTGGATTCGGGAATTTACTTCTAGCGTAGTAAAGAGATTTGGCCAAGTGTGAAAGAAGTTTTGTTTTTGTTGCGTTATCGTAGGAAGCTTTTCGAGCTTTTCTCACAACATGATCTAAATTCCAAAAAATAAAAAGTTAGAAAATTGCAAATTAAATAGAAATTTAAACATACCAATCAATGCTTGTAACCGAGATTCACCTAATCCCATCTGCTGCAACCCTTCGCATGGATTCTTGAGAGGATATTGATTATTCCAAATTGTAACTAGTGATTGACGACCACCATGACCTCGACAAGTAACATCACGAACCCAATGAGTAGGGAAACAATTGTGAATTATATTGTTGAGAAGTAACTTTTCCAATGCTAAATCAGCTTGAATCGGATCATCATTTTTTCCAAGTTTCTTATTCACCGCGAATTTATATCTACTTGTTTGAAGAGGAAGAATTCCTTCGACGTAAGTGATGTCCCCTTGCTCGTTTGTCTGATCAACTTCAGGCAAAATACGAATATCTTTCGTTTCTTCACCTGAAAATGTTACCTTGAATTCTTTTTGTGAACAAGAGATGAGATTGTTATGAGAAAGTGTGAGAATTTCTATAACTTTCATCAACTCCAAAGCAAAGTTTTGACAAGTCCGAACGGACAAATTTCCAATTGCTTGTTTCAGAGAGGATAATTCAATTTTGTTTTGAGCTTGATCATTGCTTGAAAATTCTTTCTGTTCAGAATCAATTTTATTCTTTGGAAAGTCAACTGAATCATCTTTGTTTGATTCAGTAGTTGAAGCGCTTGTATTTATAGCTTTCGAAGTAGATGGAGTCGGTTCTTGTTGTTCTTGAGATTTTTTCTTGATTTTTTCTTGGTTTTTTCTTGCTGAATCAACCAAAAAAAGGAAAGATTGAAATGAATTCTCCGAAATGGTTGGAAGACCTTTCGATGCTGTTTCATACGTTTGAATTCTGAGATTTTCGATGTTCAACCAGATCGAAATTTTTTTCTGTAGATTCGGAAACTTACACGACGCAAATCTCCGGAAATATT